ACCCTAGAGGAAATTAACCTGGCCTTAAAAAAATATGGCTAAAGGAAAGAGCCCTGGGCTGGACAGATATACTGTGGGGTATTATAAAAAATGTTGTGATCTTTTGGTCCCTAAAATGTGTTGCTACATGAATGCAATAGGGGAAGGGCTGGAAACGAGAGAGGAGACATTGCAGGCTCATATACCGATTATACTTAGAGAAGGGAAAGATAGTATACAGTGTGCCAGTTATAGGTCAATATCCCTACTAAATGCCAACACTTAATTGTATGCTAAAGTATTGGCAACTAGACTAAAGGATTTGATGCCGGCCCGAATACACCTGGATCAGGTAGGATTCATTCCCGGAAGAGAAGGTAGGGACAATGGCTTGAGATCATTGTTCCTCCCTCAAACGGTAAAAAGAGAGAAACTGCTGACTTTATTTTTGTCAACTGGGGCTTCATGATGAATACGCTAGATGAAATAGGATTAGGGCCTAAAATGTTGAAGTGGATAAAAGGGCTCTATAGTGCCCCATCAGCGGCGGTTAAGGTTAACGGGTCCCTCTCTCAGTTCTTTAAAATGTATAACGGAACTAGACAGGGATGCCCACTAATAAAATATATAATTTTGAGGTGGCACACCCTTGAGCTTAATTGGCACACCAACTGAGGTCCAAGCAACTATACCTGCAAGCATTTTACAGGTATAGCTGATGTGACAGGCAGTAATAAAAGCTGTTCCTTGCTACAGGAACAAGGCAAAAACAACAAAAAACTCAGGGAAAATTAGGTTTGGGGTTACATTTGGGTAATGCCCAGACAAACCCTTTATTCTCAGTTTTGTACCATAGAATTTATTCTCATGAAAGACTATGTTCAAGAAAAGTTACCAGTCAGGTAAAAATATTTTAACATAATTATCATCACAAACATAATTTTCATATAAATTCCATAGAAGGAGACTGGGCAGATTTTGCCTGGGGAATTTAAAGTCCTAAAAGGACCTTGACTGGGGAAACACTCCCATTGCTGACCTTTCTTCCTGAAAACAGTTGTTGCCTCTCATGTTGATCCAAAGGCTTTAGCACTTTCACTGACAGCACAAGGATGCACATTAGAGATTCTGACTTCTCTTACCATATGCTTGCTTTAGGTAAATGTCTCAAAGTACTTCAGCTAGAGATAGCCAGTAACTCTGTTTTTCAGGAGAAGAGGTCTGTAAAGGAGGTCTAACAGGGAGCAATGTGTGTACCTCCTTGTATAAAGGTATGAATCAGAATATCAAAAGCAAGAGAAAGTGGAAAAAAGAATGGACACCTGACTGGTAATGGTGTTACAAGCCAATTAAATGTTGTGCTATCCTCATCTGGAGGAAATAAAGAACATGGGCCACATAAAAGGCACATGGGAAAGCCCCCAGAGACTTACACCAGTGAAAATAAGTCTTCCACGTTTGATTATAATTTTTCCGGAAACAATATTTACAAGCTTTTAACATGCTCAAAAATACAGAACCTGACATGCACCTGTTTTTTAGAATCTGATCGTCAATTTAGCATCTGAGAAACAGGATTAAGGATTGGTCCTTGAAAAAAACAACCTGGACAATGGGGTAGAAGCCCCAAAGTGTTGGCTGATAAATTAATAATTTTGACATACCATACTGGAATGCTCTCAGTCTCAACCCTACAAAGTAGACAAGGTAAAAGTTTTAATCAGAGGAAAGCCATACTGACCTGACGGTTCTATCAGGACATATGTTGTGTCAGCCAACAGGTCCTGTGTCCTGAAAACAAGCCTGCTCTCCTAGTTGAACCAAGAATCTAACAAGCCCATGTGCAGTGTTGTTCAACACTGACACAGAACATCTAAAGACGACTATTCCTCCAGGTCCAGGCACTGCCTGCTGAGAAAACCCTCTGACAATTGATGTAAGCCACAACTGTGGCATTATCTGACTGAACCTGGATAAGATGACATTTCAGAAAGGGGGTTCAGCAAAGTACTGATAGATGAATTGACCTAAAAGCAAAACACTATGTGTGGCAGAAAACTAACACTACACATCACCCCTTTGATAATGTGCCATTGCCACGAAACGCGTTAGTATAAGGACACCTCTCATACCATTGATCATCCACTCGGTTCATGCATCTGACTGTCGGCCATCTTTTTAGATTCTGTGAATCAGCTTTTTTGGACATTACCATGTAAGTGTACTACTTACTTTTTACCTTTGAATAAAAATACTACACTATCAAGATTTCTCTCTTTTGGGTCTTTTTGCCGAGTCCCTGAGATGATCTCCTGATATGAAAACACACCAATCCTGGCGATAGAGGATATAAAGTGATTTCGTGCTACTGGAAAGAGGCGCACTCCCTCTGGTGGTAGGAGACGGCAAGAGTGGTGCACTGGGGTTCCTGAGGGCTTTACGCTGAGGACCATTTGGCTGTGACCAGGAGTAGGTCTTTATACTCCAATGCGCATTTACTTGCGCTATCTGGTTAGTGCATTTTACAGTCATTCCCCTATCACGGAAGTCACGGATTTGCTTGGATACATCCCAAACTTATGACTTTAACATCCCTATCACTATAGGCACTTTGATTAGTTGGATAGATCCCCATTACTCATCTGACCATTGTTTACATTAATTTATGAATGTGGGATCTGGTGCATGTTAAAATATGAATGTTTAACTCTGCTATATATATATGTTAATTCCCTGTATTATATACTCAAGCGCTGCAATTTTTTGTATTTGACTTTTGATGTAGGGGGTATACGAGGTTTACCTTTATGCTAGCAGCTTGAATCCTGTCAGATCCAGCGCTCGTTCCTTCCTTCATATATTACTACACATCACCCTGAACACACCATCCCCACCGTGAAACATGGTGGTGGCAGCATCATGTTGTGGGGATACTTTTCTTCAGCAAGGACAGGGAAGCTGGTCAGAGTTGATGGGAAGATGGATAGAGCCATAAACAGGGCAACCTTAGAAAAAAACCTTTTAAAGTCTGCAAAAGATCTGAGACTGGGGCTGAGGTTCACCTTCCAGCAGGACAACAACCCTAAACATACAGACAGAGCTACAATGGAATGGTTTAGATCAAAGCATATTCATGTGTTAGAATGGCCCAGTCAAAGTCTAATCTGACAGCACTTGAGCTATTTTTCAAAGAAGAATGGGAAAAAATGGCACTGTCTAGATGTGCAAAGCTGGTAGAGACATACCCAAAAAGACTTGCAGATGTAATTGCAGCGAAGGGTGGTTCTACAACGTATGGACCATTTATCATTTTCCTTCCACTTCACAATTATGTGCCACTTTGTGTTGGTCTATCACATAAAATCCCAGTAAAATACATTTCCTTTTTTGGTTGTAACATGACAAAATGTGGAAAATTTAAAAGGGTATGAATACTTTTTCAAGGCACTGTATTTGAGCATAAAACCATATTTTTCTGTACACACACATATTACATGTTATGGCTTATCAGGGCATTCTTGCAGAGAGATGGTAGGTTGAAGGTGTTAAACTTCTACTGTACCCCAAAAACGCATTGCTGCAGAGCAAATGAATGTCATCTATTTCATATGTTTCAGCTAGTCAACTCAAACTCTAGCATCACTCTGAGAGACCCAGACTCCAAAAACTGATTTACACCACACACCAGTTCGCAAAGTGATGACATACAGAGTATATCTGTGGTTGTAAAGGCTCAAGGGTTTTTACCTTCATGTATTCTATGCATGAAGGTAAAAAACCTTTTGTGTGCAGCGTGCCCCCGCCCCCCCCCCAGCCCTCCCAATCTTTACCTGAGCCTCCTCCAATCCAGCAATGTTTTCCACAGACTCAGCTGTCTAGGCACTCTTCCTCCTCAGTGGCTGAGACAGCAGGAGCAGCCCATTGGCTCCCTCTGCTTTCATTTGCAACCAGTGAGCCAATAAGGAGAGAGCGGAGGGGGGGGGGGCACACACCTATAAGTGTCATATAGACACATAAGAGCAGCAGTTTGGGGACAGCTTTCCTTGGGGGCACTGCTTGGGGAAGGACCTGAAAAGAAGAGGATCTGGGCTGTTCTGTGCAAACCCACTGCACAGAGCAAGTAAGTAAAGACATGTTTGTTATTAAAAAAAAAAAGAAGAGCTTTAAAGTCACTTTAAAAACCAGTAGGAAGCGAGTAGTTTAGGCAAATGCACAAAACAAATTATTTTCTAGGCAGAGCATGCATCTTTTTTCAGGGGAAAATTACTTCACAGTTCTCTAATGCTAAAATCATGGCAGTGTGTCAAACCGGCCCAAAGACAAGTACTGTATTTCTAACACGAAGCTCAATAATTGGATCAGCAAGGGATGTGAAAGTTGTGATTTTCCTTTAAAATTTAATATATAAAGCTCTTGTATGACCTTAGCCTTATTTACCAGCATTTTCCATGGTGGGTAGATGCTGTAACAAGACTTCCATTGTACTTAACGTATTACAACTAAAAGCAATTAAAGAGACAATCTAAGTGGAACGTCACCCAAAAAGGGGAAGTTCCACTTCAAGTCCTCTTTAACCCTCCTGTCCCATATTTGGCATGTCATTTGGGGGGCAGGTACGTAGTTTTGGCAGGTACCTGATTCCCACTTCCACTTCAATCGCCTAGGTGATCTGAGCAGAAGTTCTCCTCCCCTCTCCCTCCCCGCAGTCTTCTGGGACATGTCAGAGGTCCCAGAAAACTGCAGGACCATTCACAAAGCCTGTGGACAGTTCGTGCATGCACAGTAGCCAGCAGGCTGTGAAGCCAAAAGCAGCATAGCTGCCTGCTCACAGTTAGGATGCCGGTGCTGAAAACCCAAGGCTGGTGAAAAACTAGGCCGGGTGAAGACTGCGCTGGATCCCTGGACAGGTAAGTGTCCTTTTAATAAAAGTCAGCAGCTTTCTGCTATTTTTTTTCCCAGATTGAAAAACAGCTTTAAGTAGTAAAACAATAAACAAAATATTCAAATATAACAAATACTACCATTTCATAGTCTGGTGATTCCATTCTGGATTTCAAGCTCTGTACAAGTGGAACTAGACTGCTCATTCTGAAAAATAAAATACATATATGAAGCAGGTAGCTAAGGAAAAAATCCTGAGCAAATAATTAGAAACCATTTTCTGTTGATTTTCCCTTCTCTAATAAAGCATAACACTTGAAAGTGTAGGTTATATCACACTGCACATAGACATGACTCTGCACTGCCTTAAATAACACTTGGTGTTTTTCATAAATTCTTTAATTTATTAGTTTCAAACTCTTGCATACAGAAAACAGAAGAAAGAGAACGGTTGTCAATCCACTATATAGAGATGTACAAGGTAAAATGCAATCCCAAGTAACAGTGTCACAGTAAGTGTTATTTTTACCATTTTCCAAACTGTGTGAACAGTTCTTGCATACAAACAAAACCAAAAACCAACATAAATGAGAGTAGGCTATTGAATCCTCTAAAATAACAGATGTGATAACAAATTTACGCTGATCTTAGGAGATGATTAAAGCACGGTGACACAGCTGTCCAGATTCTATTGAGTCACAGGGAAACAGCTTGCCTTTCATGGGAGTACTTTTAATTTAAGATTTTTCACCAATTGGATAGAAATTTTAACTTAAGGGTCTGCTGATGAAATAGAACAAAAGGGCAAAAAAACTACAAGAAGAATGCACCTCATCCCTTAAAACTTGCTTTACCTGACATATTCCTAATAATAACATCTTTTCTGCTGCCTTGTTGAAGGTGTGATTTGATGATGAAGCAAATGCTTGCTGACAGTTTAAAGACTGACATAAAACAAAACTGCAAAACCACTGAACTGAGCAGAAAGTGTTGATTAATCTCTCGATTTATATATTTTTGTAGATAGAGCTGCTGTTTACAATGTCTGCTAATCCAACATCTACCTCTAGTGGCAGTCTTTGAATATTACACTAAAAAATAGTTCAGAACTACAAATGGCCAGTGCATTTTTTTTCCTACATGACAAAAGGTCAGAGATATCTCCAAATGATTTAAAATCACATGAAACACCCAAAATGACTTTCAAAATGTTATTATTTTCACTTATTCATACTAATACCTGCTTTGTAACAACAGTATTTTCATTTGTCAGATACTTTTCCCCAAGCAATTTGTAATTACATGTTTATTGAAAACCATGTTTTAAAATTAGTTTTGGATATAGTAGGCGATGGTTAAAACCATTGTCAAGTTTTACTTTTTGCGGTCTCAGAAAGACACAGGAAAAAAGAAATCTTTATTAGGTAAACCCACTCTTAGACAGATGTCACCAGAACAAGTGTACTATTTGGAAAAATTCCCCTCTCGAGGCAGTCTTCATGGGTCACTTAGTCTTTTTTCTGCCATCAATCTTTTGTCCCTGTCCCAGTGACAACTCACTTTCATTGACAAATAGAAAGGGCAAATCTCCCCAACAGGAACATAGAAAGAAACTTTGACAGGTTCTAACTCTTTCCAAACCCAACAAAAAAGATTGGCTTCAGATAGGGCTCCTGCCACCAACTTAAAAAAACTGCACTAACCACTACAGAGAAATCAACTACGGTACCTTAAATTTTTACTTGCAGTGTTTTTCCTTAAACTCTTTATATACACTTGTAATGCGCCTTTGAGCTGGCTTGAAATTTTGACTACTCCAGGAAAGTCAACTTACCAGGGTGGCCCCCTCCCTCCTTCATATCATAGCCCTCTTCTCTTCTGGGAATGTCTAATCATTGTGCTGGCCCAGAAAATCCACCTCTCTTCTCACAGCCCTACAAAACCATTTTCTTTAGCTTCCAGTGGAAAAACAAAAGGGAAATAATATACAGTTTTACTTGACTGAAAGCTCAGAGTCTTCCGGGGTTGCATATATTAAATTCTAAGAGGTAGTGCCCAACAGCAGTCTCAGGGTTTTTGGAAGTCTACATAAGAATAGTTTAAATGCATATAGCATGCATAATATATGGTAAATGCACAAATAAACTTAAAGGAAGGATGATTTTGTCACTGGGTCTCTTTAGGAATGCTCTCTCTGGGTTAGTTCCTTAGGCACCCCTTTTCATTCCAGTTAAATGCTAGTTGGAGTCTCATTTCCTGCTATTCATCTTTTATTAAAACGAGTATTTAAGCATTTACACAGAAATACTTAAAAACAACATGAAAAACTTGATTTTTGATTTACCTGTAAAATCCATTCTCGAAATACTGTACAGGACACAGGCTGGGTTATAAGCAGGTACCTTCAGGTGATTGGGCACTAGCAAAAAAAGCTGTGAAGACCCCCATATGACCCCTCTCGCTCCCAGCAATCCCCAGTTCTTTGCTAGTGTCTGTAGGTGTTGGATGCATTATCTTTACTGAGTGTGCTATGACTGTTAATTGCACTTACGATTTTCTTAAATTTTTTTAGCTGCCAGCAATCCTCAGTTCTGTAGCAAGCAATCAAAGATCCCATAGGGGATGGTGCCATGTGTCCCTGTATTGGAGTGCCAAGTCAAAAATTGTATTTTCTTGTTCATGCAGTACAGGACACAGACAGATTCAGAGATAACTGGGATGTCCCCAAGCAATAGTTATTAAGGGAGGGTAAAATCAAACACAAAACCAGCCAACATACCCATGAGAACAACCAAAAAAACTGTCGGACTCAAGTCAAACAGTTGCCTTGCACCTGGCAGCCAAAAAGAACAATTGGCAAGGACTGAATATCCCATGGAGTCATTGAAAACGGTCTTGTGGGCAACAATAGGAGGCGCCCACTGCCCAAAGGTCTTCACCAGAGATTGCAATGCTAATGGCCATTGGAAGAGAATAGCCAAAGCAAACATTTGGCCCCTGATAGTACTCTGGGCTAACCGCTGATCAAGTCCCAACTGAAGAAAAGTCAAGATACGTTCCTCCGTGTACTGGTGAGAAATAAACTTCCACTATTCACACCAAGCAAAATAGCCTTTCAGGTGTGGTTTTAGACTTTTTGAGAAGTTGATTTCTTGTATTTAAAAGCATAGGGATGACTGAATCACCAAGGCCCAAATCTCTCAGGACTTGAGCTTCAACAGCTAGACCGTCAAAACAAATGACCAAGAAGCAAGGTGGGGGCCATGGAGCATCCACCAGAAACTGAAGTACATCTGTGTACCAAGGTCACTGGCTTCTTGGCCAGCTTGGGGCCACAAGAATCAATGGAATTCTTTTGGACTCAATCCGACAGATCAGATGGGGGAGGAACTTTAGCGGAGGAAAGGTATTTATTAGGGAGTATCAATGCCAATGATCCACTAGACTGGGGAGCTTCTGGCCTCCACCAACAGCAGAATGGGGTGATCTAAAGAAGAAGTCTGCTTGTTAGACACAGTCAGAATGTTGTGTTGTGAAGGCCTGGAACGAATTGGGCACATGGGCACACAGCACTTCCTCAGTGGAAGCCACCATCAGACCCATGACCCTCATGCAAAACTGCAGGGCTGAAAACACAACAGCACAGTTCTTGCCTGAGATCTCAATATCTGAATGTTTGTTGGTGGAAAAAAACTTGAGACAAGGCCATTTCCAGATCAAGGCCTATTTGCTCAATGAAATGAGTTGAAGTCAATGCAAAAGGCTGAGTATCTAATTAAAGGCTAACAACAGGTGAGCTGTCCACTGAATATTGCTCGACAGAACCTGGGCAGAAAATGCTGTCAATAGAAGACTATCCAGGTATCCCACAGTGAACACCCTGAGAATGAAGTAAGGCAAGGGTCAGGGTCAAGACATTTGTGAACACCAGAGGGGCCATGGACAGGCCAACAGGAAGTGCCAAAAATTTTATATGTTTTTGTCCGGGGCAACTCATACAAGTCACTGATGTGAAGGATAAATGGGGATATACAAATGAACATCTTTGATGTCCAGCAGACTAGGAAGTCCCCTTGTTCCAGAGACGTAATGACTGACCTAGTGGATTCTGTGTGGAATTTTTGTATTCTCAAGTGCCTGTTGAGGACCTTGAGGTCCAAAACGGGATACACGTCTCCATTTGGTTTTGGAACCATGAACAAATTTATTAGTAAAAACCTTTCCCCCACTGGTACGGGTACAATTACCCCCAAGGACATCAGAACAGGAAACTGAACTCCAGTTTGTAGCCTAGGGTGACAACAAACTGAACCTAAAGGTCTGGAATGTCCCAAACCCAGATGACCGAGAAGAAGTGGAGATGCCCTGTTATTGTGCAAAAGACTTGGAACCAGCTTGCATTGGAACTGCTTTCCTGGTGTAGACTTGGAAGATGAGGCCTGTGAGGGATGAAAGGAACCTTTCCACTGAATAGAGTTTGGGGACTTACCTGCAGGAGCCTTACATTTGCTGAGGAACAGGGTGCTCTTACCCCAATGATCATTTTGGTATGAGTTGAGTTTCTCCCTGAAGAGCCATCTGCCCACTAAGGGAATTTTCTCTAGTCACTTTTTGTTTAACAGTTCTGCCAACCAGTATTTTAGTCTGCATCTGGACAGAAAGGAGGCCCACTCTAGACATATGATGTAGAGAGTCAACCAGTCCATCAATGTAATACCTCAGCAGGAGTGCTGAAGGAGCTGAGAATCCACAGAGATGGGTCCCAATTCTCAAGACATGTGTTTTGTCTCTACTGCCAGAATCTTGCATATTGTAATAGTGGCAATAACTGGTTGTGTTGTCAAACCAATCAGGGCAAAACAGGATTTGGAAAGGACACAGCATCCTTAAAGGTTGCAGGATCCTTCATGGGAACCATTAGGAATCTGTTGAGGCAGACAATAGCTGACTCAACCTCCAGGACCACCCATTTTTTTTTTAGAAACATGTTGACAATAGAGTACTGTTATGCAGCGTGTGTAGGCTGAGCATACACTTTTTCATGATGCTGCCAGTCACCGTACAGGTCTTAGATGGTTTGTGCTTTTTAAGAGAACCCATACTGATAACCTTAGGTATGGAAACTTCCAACAGCCCCAATGCCATAGAAGTCCTCACCTCGTCAATCAACACTGATATAACGTCACAGAGATATGGTGATAATATAACAGAAGGGGATTTCTCCTGAGAGGAAACCTTTAATTCATAGGAAACAGCCTCTAACTCCCCGCTCTGTCCTCTTCTGGGTTTAAGATCACAGTCAGAGCTGTATCAGAGACAGATCTTGCTGGAAAGGGGGGTGGGGGTTTCTTACAACCCTGATGGCCCGGACAAGGTCCAAGATTTGACCCATGAAGGCAGACATGGATGCCCCAAAATCCTCTGTACTAATGCAGGCAGAGTGCAGTATGACAGTGGTGCAATCAAAATGTTTCAGAAGGGACAGATGAGAATGCTATCAGAGGCTATATACTTAGGTGGGGTTATGGTGATGGTGAGCTCACTGTGACCAGATGTATGGGCAAGTCCACCCTCTGTCAGTTCATGATCTGCCTCTTTTTTTGCGCCATGTGTACTACATTCAGTAATGAAGGCAAATGACCGATGCCCTGCCCTGCACATGTGCAGGGTGCTTGCACTGCTAAGGAGCCCAGGGAAGGTTTTAGATCTGCCCTGGGCTGTCCATGGTAGTGACCAAACAGTGGAAATTACCCTGGGCACTTTGACTGTAATTAGGTCAGCATAACCAAGAGGAGAGGGGAGGGAAATGGTGAACAGTGAGATGACACACACCCACCCACTAAGTGAGGAAGAGGGAAGATTCATACCCAGGATAAAGGGAGGCACCAGAGGATCAATATCCACAATTGCTGATGAACAATTCCAACACAAGGACGGACTGTGAATTAACCTTTACTCTCCTGACTCCACCCACGTCAGAAGGGCATACCCTGTCAGCAAGGGGGTTTTCAGGGCCTTGGTCACATCAGTGTGGATTACCTCTGCTCTGGACCTAGCACCCTGCAGACAATCCAACTGGTGTGCTATCTGCCAAGGTGGGCACCTAACACAGCATCCAGTGCCCAGAGCAACATTGCAGACCAACTTCATGTCTTCCCTGGTGGTGTTCAGTCTCCAGAACTCTTGCCATGGACACTGATCTAGAAGCTGCACAAAATGCTGCTGCGACCACAGCATAGTAGTAAGAAAGTTGATTGAAAAATTGGTAAGTGCAATTAACACTCACAGTACACTCAGAGAGAATATATCTAACACCTAAAATCACTAGCAAAGAACTGATTACTGGGAATGGGAGGGGTTATATGCCAGTTTTTGTGGTTTTTTTTGCCAGTGAGTAATCACCTGAAGGTACCTGCTTATGACCCAGTTGTCAATGAATCTGCCTGTGTCCTGTACTGTAAATGCTAGGAATGCACTGAAATTTTGGTGGCCGAAACGTTTCAGCCAAAAATACGCCTATTGGCCTTAGGCCGATACCAAAATAGGCACCGATACAGGTGCGAAAAAACAGCCCTGCCGCCCAGTGGCTCTCAGCCTTACCGGAGAACCCATCCAGCAATCCCGGCGCTGGACATAGAGATCAGCGAAGGAAAGATGGCCTCCACTCATCTCTATGCCCTTGCAGGACTGGAGTGACGAATGGAAGGCCATTTTTTTTAAAGCACTAGATCAATGCTTTTTTTTTTTTAATCTACTGCTTACATTGTAGAGGAGAGATGTGGGGTCTTATTGACCCCATATCTCTCCATAAAGAGGACCTGTCACTACTTATTGATGTTTGCATTATTGATGTCCGCATTCCCTGTGATAAAAAATAAATAAAGGGACAGTATAAAAGAAATGTAATAAAGTAAATAATAATGAAAAATGTTTAAAGTGCCCCCGTCCATCTGTGCTTGTAAACAGTGGTGAATGTATATATAGACCACACCCACATATGTAAACGGTATCGCCGCGAATGTCAGAGCAAGAGCAATAATTCTAGCACTAGACCTCCTCTGTAATTTTAAAACTTTAAACTGGTAACCTGTAGAAATGTTTAAAGCGTCACCCATGGAGATTTTTAAGTACAATAGTTTGGTGCCATTTCACGAGCATGACATGTTGGGTATCTATTTACTTGGCGTAACATCATCTTCCATATTTTACAAAACATTGGGGTATATATTGTGTTTTGTTTTTTTATTCATTAAACTGTATTTTTTCCAAAAAAACTGCATTTGGTAAATATATACATTTTTAAAAACTGTCCATTTCGATTTTGGCCAAGTGCATCCTGAATTTTCGGTTTCAGCACCAGAATTTTCATTTCGGTACACCATTAGTAAAAGCAAAAAAAAATAACTTCTTATAATTCCCATAAAATTACTTAAAGCAATGAGAACTGAAAATAATCACATAGTTGTAAAGAATGGTCTTTATGGTAAATTAGTCATGCATTATTCAACTCATTGAACTTTAGTCCTAAGTGATTACATTTACATAAACATACTTATAAAATATGTATATTTGTTGACAGCTGAACTTTGCTTTAGGATGGTTTGGAGCCTAATAGGCACCTGAGAACTTACAATTGCTGCACTAGCTGCTTCCTGACCTCAGTTGATGATAAAGCACTATCTCCTAAAAATGTATAACGGTATCAGACAACAAAGCTCGATCCTTAAAATGAATGTAAACAACTATGAGGCCATTTTTCATACTACTATGCACACTGAGGAGCTATGAGACAGCATGCATTTTCAGCATGAGATTAAGCATTTGATGCAGCAATAATATTTAAACCTCACAAGGGTCTCTTAGTTCTTGCTTCGTCAAAGTAGAAAAAGCAAAATAAGGGAACAAACAAAAAATGATTCAAAAGTAAAATTGCAAAGCATTATTAATTTAAGACATTTTTCATAGTCCTTTATTTCAGGATATTATCTCATAATATCCTCAAATATGCTGTTAAAAAAATCATATTCATTATACATACCCAGGATTGGATGCCCATCTTTGCACCGTCTCCTCGCTATCATCTTCACAAAACTCCGCAAAAGCAGCTTCAAGGTCTTCAAGCTGACGTATACGGTTCTCTACGCAATCCACTAGGGCATCCTAAAATTTCATCAAAAAAGCAAATCACATTCCAGTTTAATTCACAACAAACTGTGAAGGCAAAAGTGGGCCCAAAAGGGTCTTTGACAGTGAAATATAAATCCAGTCTACTGTATGCTAAGTCTGATGCGGAACAACAGACACTGGCAGAGTAGGTAACATGCAGCAGGCTAAATGTGGCTTTGTGTGAAGTATAGATAGTGCATTGCAGTATACATGCACAGTAAAGTGGTACGCAGTATTAACGAATTAAGAGTGAAGTCACGTGGCATATAAAGTACAGCAGAGAGGTTTAAATTAGGAATTGTACAACACAGTGTACAGAATGGTGTTGTGTAGTATTGAATATTGGTCACTATCATCATCCTTAAAGCGCAGTTCAAGTCAGTTTTGTGTTTATTAAAAGTCAGCAGCTACAAAAACTGTAGCTGCTGACTTTTAATAAACACACACTTACCTGTCCCAGGGTCCAACGATGTCCTCTCCTGCGCTGTCCCTTCTCTCCCTAGCATCACAACTGTGGGCACCAGGCTGTGACAGCTTGCGGCTTCACAGCCGGGTGCCCACTGCGCATTCACGAGCTGTGCATTCTCATTGGTCCTGCAGTCTTTTGGGAGCTGTGAATGTTCCCAGGAGACTGCGGGAGGAAGGAGGGGGCCAAACAGAGCCGGAAGTGGGAGCAGGCACCTGTCAAAAACAATAGTTATCACAACTAGTGCCAAGGGAATAATTAAAATCACAATCAATAAATACTGCTGCTCAAAGAAAAAAACATCAAAATTAACATAATAAAAACAGCGAAAAAAAGATCAAAGTTTAAAAAAATATATACGTATATGAAAGTCCCAAATAAAAGTCCAGTGTATCACTTTTTCATCACTGTTTTTTTTTCTATATTGGAGCACTGGACTTTTATATATACATTTTTTAATTTTGTATGATCTTTTTTGCGCTGTGTTTTAATATGTTAATACCTGTCAAAAACAGGTATCCGCTTCCCCCTAAAAGGTGCCAAACATGGCACTGGAGGCAGGGGGAGGAGGCAAACAAGCAGAGCTTCCGCTTTTGAGTGGAAATTTTAGTGTTAAAATAATAATAAACTTTATTATATGTCGTGCCTTTAAAGACAGCTTTTCAAATCGCTTTACAGAAAGAAAACAATTACATGAAAAGCTTTTAGATTTAATTTGATTGAGTTTAGAGAAGATGGCTCTTTGATATTCCTGGGAAGAGAACTCCAGTTTTCGAGCACAGCAGAAGGCTCTGCCTCCCATCGTGTCTAGGTGATTAGGGGACACACACAGAAGACCAGAATTTGAGGAGCGGAGGCTACGAGGGGGAGGGGAGTATGTTGATAAAAGTTCAGAGAGATCATGGGGTGCCAAGCCATGAAAAGCCTTATATAGGTAAGCAAGAGGATCTTAAAGTAAATGCGAAACCTAACCAGTAGCCAGTGCAAGGGCTCCAGGATAGGGGTAATATGGTCACTTGTACCACACCTAGTGAGGATTCTGGCTGCAGAATTTTGTACATATTGTACATAGTGTTAAAATGATACGATTCAGGGGCATAATTTCCAACGCTGCCCCATGTCCTCCAATCCTGCTGGCTGGTCCTCGTTCAGGTTGATATCTGTCCAGCCTAATTAAACTCACTTCCTGTGAGCCAAGTCATCATGGACACAATCCATGAGGGTATGCCCTCATACAAACAGTACTGTCATAAGTATCCACCCATCTATCCTTGCTACTGACCCAAAGACTGGAGAATTTAGGGACATGCATACTAAAATTGATGATTTTTTTGATGAAACTCAGGCTCATGCAGGGCAAAGCACCAGGTTCACTTTAATGCAGATCTCCACAGCAGCTAAAATGTATATATGCAGGAAGGCGGGGAGAAACACATTCGAGCTTTATTTGAACACAGATCTTTACATAAACAGTACCTATAAGAAAAGGGGATGTACAAGGAAAACTACCTTTTCCAAATGACAAAACTTGCTTTTGTGTTAATATATATCATGAAAAAAATACACAATACTAGTATTATGTATCATTTGTTCACTTATATCACCTTAATCCATAATATTTCAATGCAAAGCTAATATTTGCTTGTTCAAAAGTGCTGAAAAGTCAACATTTTTCATGGGCTGTGTTTACTTTTTAACGTGATGTTATATATCAGCCCTGGCTGTAAAGCAGTATTAAGCCCAAAACTAAAAATGTTGCCTATTTGCAGCTAACGAATCACCAGATGTGGTGGCTGCATTCGTTTTCTTTTTTACGCTTTTTCCAAGCAGTTATAGCAACAGTAACAGCTAATCATTGGAAGCCCTCCATCAGTGTTAAAGTGCTTTAATTGATTTTTTTTTTTAAGAACAAATCATGTCATCCTTACCTGCTCTGTGCAATGGCATTGCACAGAACAGCCCCAATTCTCTTCTTCTGGGGACCCCATCTGGCTCCTCCCTCCTTCTGAGTGCCCCCATAGCAAGCCATTGCTTGACACTTGTAGGGCTCGCTCCCGAGCCAAGCTGAGTGTCCATTGACACACAGCGCTGCTTGTCCCTGCCCCCCCTACTCCCTCCTTACAGGCTGTGATTGACAGAAGCAGGAGCCAATGGCTTTGCTGCTGCTTCCATGTCCAGTGAGGTGAGAGAGAGAGTAGAGAGAGACATTGCTCTCAGGCACAACACTGTATCGAGATCAGGCTCAGGTAAGTATACTGTAGGGAGCTGAACACAGAAGGTTTTTTTACCTTAAAGTGGAGCTGCACTGCATCTGAGCACCACAAACAAAATGCTAATTCATTGTTAATATTCAAAGCAAACTCAGCCAATCATCCATGTCTCCATGCTTTATTTTGCTGAGACATAATTTTGAAAAAACACCCGCTTGCGTTTCTGGCAGTGGCCATCTTAAGAAAGGGCAGATGATTCATGTAGCATTTACTTCCTGGAATCCATCTGTCCTTAGCTCAGGCATTGGCTGAGCTGACAACCCTCCCTCCTCTCCTGAAACTGCTGGGATGTATGACATAATTTGTCTAGGCAGGAAACCAGGAAGTAATTGAAGAAACTTAAAAAAAAAAAAAAAAAAGTTTCAAACAAGTAAATATGATATACTTTTCCATCTATTTACTAATGCTGGCAGCATAAGGATTAAAAATAGTCAATGTTGATTGACAGAGTGAAGTTCTACTTTAATACACGAAGCTTAAAAATCCTTCTTCCTTTAGAGTCACTTTAATTGGTTTCCAGACACCTTACCCAAGCTCTACTGCAAATATATTGGCAAAATGGGAGAGGGGGAGTGGGGGACCAGTGCTCAGGTTGATACGCTCACTGAACAATATGTACAGATATTGCCGGCAACACGATCACTACTTCATAAACAGTCTTTATTAGTACAACATGGACATGATATGATCGAAAGCCTTCCTCAAAGCGTACATGAAACAAATAAAATCCAAGTATATATATAACAGCCCCTCAATATAGAGGGCATAAAAATATTTCAAATGTTTTGTTGCATTTCAGGAAGGTACATCAAGGTAATCTTGATTCTTTTTTTTTTTTGGTCTTGAACAAATTACAAAGTCAGAAATCCAGAAATAGGGGGTGATACTCATCATATCTTACTTCAGCGTGAGGTATGGTGGATCCAAGCACTCAATACTAAGGTTCCCTTTGGCTTAAATAACAGGATGGAAGTTAATCTTGGTTTGAAATAAAGATCATGTATTTTTTAGAAGAATCATATGCTCTCTTGATAACTGAACTTTTTGCATTTCCCCTTTTGATAGTGGTAGGTGTAGTGCAGTTTTAGCTGTCATTAATTCATATGCCTGCTTATACTCTAACTCTGTATTTTTGATTCCTGTATTAATTAGTGAGACCGATTTCCATTCCTGTTTGGTCTCCTTTGGTTCGATCTCCATCAGATATTAATCAATGAATGTTTTTAATTAAGATGTTACCACCCCCTATATTGAGGGGCTGTTATATATATACTTGGATTTTATTTGTTTCTTGTATGCTTTGAGGAAGGCTTTGGCCGAAACGTGTCATGGATCATATCATGTTCGTGTTGTACTAATAAAGACTGTTTATGAAGTAGTGATCGTGTTGCCATCAATATCTGTACATATAATTTAAATGGTTTGTCTCAACCCTCCAACTGCTTGTTCTGTTGAAAAACAACAGTTTTTTTGGCTAGATCACCAGGTAATTATAAATGAAAGAAAGCCTAAATAAGAAAACAATGTAGCCATCATATCTAAGAATTGGTCATCTGCAATATAATGTGTGCTTTTGGCTTTAATAACACTTTAAATTAGTGGAAACGGAAACATAAAATCACTATCCATTCCCTTTACATTTCACAGCAAAGAATAGAGCTACTTAGGTAAATACAAGCACATAAATAATGTTTGTTTTGATAAACTAGAGAGTTTTTACATCCTACATACACCATTATTTACTAAAGACATAATAAACAAAGTACTTTGCTATTCATGGTAAAAAAAAAAAAAAAAGAACAGCCCCTATCTCCACAAAATGAAAGGCAGAAGCCAGTGAAGGAACAAATGAAAGCAGGAAAGGGCTTTAGTAATGATCTCATTAACATCCTCTCCATTCACTAGTTGGAACACAGAGAAAAGGTGAAGAGGCAGAAAAGCACTTGTCTGTGCTAAGCCTTATATTGCATATTTTTGTTTTTTTACCATTTAGTTTGATAGTAACTCAAAACTAGGTTTCTGCATAGGCACACTATTGAGCTCTGTAAAAGCTGCAGTATGTGCAAACCTGCCAACAGTCCTGGATTGTGTAGAACTATCACTCCTTTTCAGCTCAGCCCTGCTAATGCAGGCCATAGACGGGGGAGAAAACCGGCCGAGAATTTGTCCGAAAGAAGAATCGGCCGTTTTTCTTGATTTTTACACATTTTTTTTAATCGGTCATGTTGGGAAAAAAAAACGGCCAATTTCGTCCATCGGCCGATTTTCACGGCAATGATGGGCAAATCGGGCGATCTTTTTACCGATTAAAAAAAATGCGCATGAGCCGTGACCGAAGAAGAACATCTGTATCTATTTGTATCCATTTCGGATACAGATGTTTCTATTCGGATACAAATAGATACAATGTTTGCAACCTCAATACTTCTAAATGTCAAATCTAATAGCGGTGTCCCTGCAGAGAGCTCCGCTATTATATTTGACATTTAAAAGTATAGCGGTTGGAACATTGTATCTATTTGTATCCGAATAGAAGCATCTGTATCCGAAATGGATACAAATAGATACAATGTTGCAACTTTGCTATACTTTTACATGTCAAATATAATAGCGGAGCTCTCTGCAGGGACACCGCTATTTTATTTGCCGGTCGTAGACAGGACGAAAATCAGCTGATTTTTTTTTTTTTACCAATGGTGGTAACGTCGGTCGATTGAACGACCGATTTTTCATTTTTTTTCAATTTTTTTTTTAACTGGCCGGTGTTCTCCCCGTCTATGACCTGCATAAGACTCTGCCCTTGTACATTGTGCTCATAGTATGCAAATCAACACACTGGTCATCATGTATTTGCATATAAATGATCAGATGGCAGAGTTCACATGTGACAGAGCTATAGTGTCTCTTTCATATGCAAATCCAACCTCTGACTCATTCATGTGCCAGGGTTAGGAGGCAGGCTACCCCTCCACTCGAGTCATGCTCACAAATGAGAGAAAGACTTCCCTCTATTACTGCGTCTTCTCCAGCAACTGCTGAGTAAGGCTGGCCATACACTATACAATTTTCTGTCCAATCTCTGCCCAATTTCCTTTAGATTTACCTTCATCTATGTAGTGCAAGCGCCTGCCTAATTGGATACAGTTGAAAGTGTTGTTTAGGTTTTACCTCATAGTATATGGTTTTTGGTAAATCTAAAGCAAAAATCTCAAGAAAATTGTATAATGTATGGCCAGCCTAAGTTCAGGGGGGAAGGGGTCTGTGCTGGAGAGGGGAGTGTTCTGTACTGGGGGGGGTCTGTAGTAATGGGTTAGGATGAGGAAGTCGGTACTGTGTGGGGAACTCAGGCTGTTTGGGAGATTTGTACTGTGCACACTAGCCTTCGTGTTGTATACTTTTGACCCCTGCACTGTGTTACATACTCCTGGACCCTCTGCGTAAAACAGTTCTGCCCCGGCACTGTGTGTGTCAAGCACTCCTAATCTCTGCACCCTGTATTACACACCCCAAGCCCTGAAGTCTGTGCAGTACGCATATACCCCTGAAATTCTTCTTCAAGGAGCTGTGTGCAAATAAGTATGTATAATAGAAGAGATTTTTGAAAAGGAGTGTGCTGAGGTTTGGACATGTCTGTTAGACACAGGTTTAAGGAATATTTTGTGGTATATCTGTGTTGTGTATACAGAGAATAGGCTCAACAGGTGTCACAGTACTCAGCAGAAAGGTCAGTGTCAAATGATGTTATCTAACTATTTTATGCTCAATGTGTTGTTTTATACTGTATTGTCTACCCAGAGTCTTTCTGGTTTGCCAGTACATCTATAAACTGCACACCTTTCACTTTCACCCCTTTCCAAACTGTTCAAAAGTTGGGAGTTATGGTATATGGTGTGTCATTATATACATAAGAAAAGTGAACAGTTTGTGTGGTCGAAAGGAAACGTTTTACATTGTGTTTTCCATGCAGCAAATGGTACTGATACACATAAAGTGACTTTACGTTACCTCTAATGACTCAGGACTTGGCTTTTTAAAACTGTACAGCTCCTGCAAGATTTTGTATTCATCCTAAAAGTAGGAAACACAAGAGCATCATGAAGCAAAAATACAGAAATTAGATCACAAAAAGAGATAAGGTGAGCAAACGTTTTGTCGCTATATAAATACTGTATAATAATAATAATAATAATAATAATAAAATACTATCAATTTGCTGAAGTGCCATAAACTAGGAAGAAGTCAAACAATACCTGCATGTCTACTTTTATCTCTTGTAAAGGGTGCCAGGACCTCCCAAATATCTAGCAAACAGTAAACATCTTTCTATCTCAGACACCTTATTATTGGTTAATGAAGCAATGCATCATAGTGATTGGCCAAAATGAAAGTGTTACTAAACCCACAACAGTAAAATCAGTCTTTATATGCTTGCTTGTTATATTCCCTGTGGAACCTAAGGGGTTAATACTTTGCATTGTGCAAAAAAGGCTGTTTGATCCTGACTTCTCTAATCCTCCCCTTCTTACAGTGTCCCCCTCTCCCTTCTTACAGTGTCCCCCTCTTATCTCCTGATAAGACATATGGTATGGAGGCAGCACAAGCTCAGTTTGGTGTGTATTGCTAGAGAGGTTTGTATTTTCTTGGGAGAGTGCATGTGATCAATCATCACTGTCCAGACAGAGGTCAGGGGTCCTGCATCCTCCTAGAGAAAAATGAAAACTCCTCCTACAAGCTTTAACCAGTGCTCTGCTAAACACTGATAGAAGTCATAAGACTGCTCTAACTGCTGATGAGAAAAGGTATTTAGTAATTTATATTTTCTAAAATAATTGCATGCTCTCTGTGCTGTGGGAGACCATATCTAGTGAATGCAGTGTTCTGGGTTTGGTAATACTTTAAGATTAAAGTGGTTTATTTTGAATATTGGATAATTCCCATTTACAAAATGTAATGTTTGAACATTAAGGCATCAAACTTGAGCAGGCTGGGGGTATCTAAGGCATTTTCTTCATCAACTACAGGTAGCCAGATCACTAACATATTTACCTGTCCATATCAGTAGGCACATCTGATAGATATTGGCTACAAGGAGAAAATGCATACTGGGGAGGAAGCTGTAGGACAGTGCTTCTCAAGCTTCCTAATGCCGTGACCCTTTAATACAGTTCCTCATGTTGTGGTGACCCCCAACCATAAAATTATTTTTGTTGCTACTTCATAACTGTAATTTTGCTACTATTATGAATCGCTACTATTATAATTACCCAGTAATTATAATTCATGAAGTGTCATTTTACCTCCAATACTACTGCGTTCAACACAGTAGCTGCTTTCAACATAGCAGCTGCTTTCTACACAGTAGTTGCTCTTTACACATGTGTGACTGGTCCACATAAGTACATTATGGCGCCAACCCTGTCACATACACCTGTATTTGTACGGGGTGTATGTGATGGGGTTGGCGCGATGATGTCATCACGCCGGGTACTCGTATGTGGGCGTATCTGCATGTGGGCAGGAGGAGTGGTGTCTCGGTTCCTAAGACCATCTGAAATATGTGCTTTCCGATGGTCTTCGGCGACCCCTGTGAAAAGGTCATTCGGCCCCCAAAGGGGTCGCGACCCACAGGTTGAGAACCGCTGCTGTAGGAGGATCTAGGTTTTAGAATCTTTTCAAATCTGCAGCTTTCTTTAAAATAACACAATATGATCCTGCGTTGAAGTCCTTGTTCATATATATCCTGTTATCCATCTCAGTGTACATGACAGGCAGGAGGATGCATTTATGGCAGAAGAGACCAATAGGGTCTCTTATGTCATAAATACCCTACCTGTCAGCAACTTGTTCAAAATGGACTTTACTTCCCACTTTAAATTTTGTAAATTTACTTTGTGAAGACCCCAACACATTTACTTCCTTGAATCCTGTGACACATATTATCACTGTGCCCTGTAAGCAGGCACTGCTGTGTCAAACATTTCACATAGTCTGCCATCTGAACTACAGAGGAGCTGAGATGAGGAGTATCAAAAGGAAGAGTCAGTACAGGGAACCACAGCTTACAGGCAGCAACGTACCATGGGACATGTAGTCCTTAGAAATTAAAGGTAAACAGCAGAGGAGAAACTGCAAAGCATGTAAGGAATACAGGAAGTTGTAGAAATAGATGGCTAGCAGACAGGAAGAACTCAGAACATGAACGTTTTTTCCAAGTAAGCTTATAGTAAATTGTCAAAAATTGTCAAAAATAACTATTATTTGTATTGCTATTACCAGGGGTGGACTGACAACTCATGGGGCCCCCGGGCAATAGGGGATCATGGGGCCCCTGTGTCCTTCCCCAAACTCAAAAAAGCCTACGAAAAAGGTACCAGGGGCATCTCATGGGGCCCCCTACTGACCCTGGGCCCTCGAGCACTGCCCGAGTTTCCAAATGGTCAGTCCGCCCCTGGCTATTACATTGTTATAACATGAAAGTGTATGCTGTGACCATAAGACATACCTTAAAGTGGAACTGCACTGCTTTTGAGCACCACAAACCAAAAATTATTACTATTTAATTTGTTTTTAATATCCAAAGCAGATTCACCCATCCATCCATGTCTCCATGCTTTATTTTGCTGAGAAATCATTTTAAAAAACACCCCCTGGCATTTCTGTCAGTGACCATCTTGAGTAAGGGCAATGATACATGTAGCATTTACTACCTGGAATCCATCCATCTGCCCTTAGGTCAGGCATTGGCTGAGCTGAGAACCCTCCCTCCCCTCCTGAAAACTGCTGGGAAGTATGACATCATTTGCCTAGGCATGGAAACCAGGAAGTAACTGAAGAAACTTAAAAAAAAAAAAAAAAAGTTTAAAAACAAGTAAATATGATACACTTTCCTATTTACTAATGCTAGCAGCATAAGGATTACAAATAGTCCACGTTGATTAAGAGAGTAAAGTTCTGCTTTAAGGATATTGGACACAGGGCTTAAAAAATGCCACCTTTACAGGCATTTGGTGTTTTTTTTCCTGCTTTTGTGTGTCCAAGCACACATAGGTGTGTACAGATTGAAAAAAAAAAAATATTACCAGTGTGTTCAGGAGAGAAGCTTTTGGGTGGAAAAAAAAACACTTAATACACATAAATTCATCTAAACGAGCCTAAATGCTACAGCATTTAGAGCTTCAGTGTTCATTCATTTCAGTTGCCAGAATAAATTCATATTTTTACCAATGGAATCCAAAAGCTCTCAAACGTTTGATGTGCCTTAACATGTGTGCACTACGCAGCTTTAGGCGCACTTTTTAAGCTGCTTTTTCCTGCCAGGAGTAAAAGGCATTCAGAGAAAGAAAATAAAAAACACCCAGTGTGCATGAGCCCTTAAGATTAACCTGGTAAACGTAATAACATGGAGCTGCGAGTTCCATCTGCCTGCAGGCAATGTCATATTTATCATAGCAAAAATATAAAATCTTTTTAAAAATGTATTTTTAGTAACATAATAGAGAAGATAAAAAACAATGGCATTGCATACTGACTTTTAAAGTCCTCAGTAATTGGACTGCAAGTACAGTTTTAAGTGTGTGCTGGATGCATGGCAAATGCAAAGCCTCTCTGGTTACAGGTATGACTCCTCAAGTGAAGAATACAGCAGCTTTCAAATAGACTTGACAAGTCTATTTACTGGCAGTAAGACAAGATACACTCACCGGTCACTTTATTAGATACACCTTGCTAGTATCGGGTTGGACCCCATTTTTTCTTCAGAACTGCCTTGTATATAAACGGCCGGACGGTGGCAGTGCAGGGTGGGGTGGCCATTTATAAATGGCCTCCCCGCAACCTGCTTGTGTTCCGGACACAGTGGAACACGGATACTCGGACAGGACCTCTGTACGAGGTCCCGATCATGTGATCACTGATTGGCCAATCAGTGATCACATGCAGAGTAGTAGTAAGATGTCACTTGTGACACCATTGCTTACTACGTGTGAAATCTGTGAATGATCACAGAGGTCACATGGTACAAGGCTATTCACAACAGCCTTGTACCATGTGACAAGCTGTGACCAATCACAGCTCACTCAGTAGTTCTCAATGACTGCAAGAATGCAGCTAGAGAGGAGAAATGATTGCTTTTACATCCTTTTATGGGTGTAAAAGCAATCAGTGTAGAAAAAAATCTTCATCACCCCTCTCAAGTAGTACAGTGTCACCATGGTGACACTACTGCTAGGGTGACAGTACGCAAAAAAAATAAAAATAATAAATAAAAAATATTAAAAAAAGTAAAAGAAAATGTTTAAAAATTATTAATTTTGGTTATATATACTAATCTGGGTTATTATTTTTTTACTAAAAATATAACGTAATACATTTTGGCCAAGAATTATGATGAAATACTATTTATTAGCAAAATTTTATAAGAAAAACACTTTTTTTTTTCAAAAATTTTGGACTTTTTAATTTACATAGCAAAAAAAATAAAAATCCCAGCGGTGAATAAATACCACCAAAATAAAGCTTTATCTGTCTCAAAAAAATGCTAAAAAATTCATATGGGTACAGTGTTGCATGACCGCGCAATTGTCATTCAAAGTGTGATAGCACTGAAAGCTGAAAATTGGCCTGGACAGGAAGGGGGTAAAAGTGTCCGGACTGGAAATGGTTAATTCTTCGAGATTCCACAAGGTGTTGGAAACATTTCTCTGAGATTATGGTCCGTATTGACATTGAGTTACTGTTGCCTTTCTTTTTATCATCTCAACCAGTCTGCCCATTCTCCTCTGACCTCTGACCTCTGACATCAATAAGGCATTTTTATCCACACAACTGCAACTCACTAGATAGTTTCTCTTTTTCAAACCATTCTCTGTAAACCCTAGACATGGTTGAGCTTGAAACTCCCAGTAGATCAGCAGGTTTTGAAATACTCAGACCAGCACGTCTGGCACCAACAACCATACCACACTCAAAGCAACTTACATCCCCTTTCTTCCCCATTCTGATGCTTGGTGAAAAATCACACACAAGCCAGTGGATGGACCAGCTTGCCTTTTAGTCACACAAAGCTATAGGTATTCATTGTGCACTACTACATCCTTCTAGCCGCTGGTGTCTTAACCAATGACATCGCGATTGATAAGGAGGACGTTTAGCGAACGCACAGCATTCTTGTCTGCCCCTCTCCATCAGCACTGGGGTCACAATAATTGAGTGAGGCAGAGAAGAAACACTGGAATACTAGTAAGTACCAGTGTGCAAAGGTGTATTTGCTTTGGAAGAATAAATCACTTCTAATATTGGGTGTCCTAGACATGTGGATGTTGCTGTGTTAAGTAAACCTGTTCAGTTTTTAAAATTTTAGAATAGGGTGCCTCGAGACTGTGCAGGATTTTAAATGGTGCCTTGAATGAAAAAGGGTTGAGAAACACGGAGTATTCTTTTGGCTTCGTGTGGTGAGTGTTTTTCTGTGCAGTTCTTTCTGGGAGTAAATTACCCCATGGTGGAGAGTATGTGGAGTTTCCAAGGATAGCTCTGGCCGAATTATTGAAACTACATGCTATTATGATATTCATGGGCCGTCTGGTCAGTGCATAAAGGATGGAGGATTAAGAGCACTTTTCTTTGTTTCTTCACTTTTCTGCACAGTGGATGATATTAACTTTTTTTTTTTTTTTTTTTTTTTTTTTTTACACCATCTGAGTGTTTTGACTTTGTAGAAATGTTTTGGTGAATCAACCCTATTTATGTTTTCTTGCTGTGCTACTTATTATGGACTCCAGGACTCTTCACTAGTTATTAATATTCTGAACTCTATACTGTGAAGTGAAAACAAACAAAAAGCACACCAATCTTGCGCATTACCTCAGTAAGCCAAAATTTATTAATTACAGAAGAATACTCACAAACACTTAAGTATATCATGTATGTACGTCCTCAAAGGGTCTAAGGATAAAAGCAGCCTGCGCGAGTCCCATCAGAGGAGTGGACACTCAGGGAACAGCGGACGCGTTTCGAAGGGCGAACCTTCATCAGAGCTCTGATATACTTCAGTGTTTGTATTATTCTGTAATTGATAAAGTTTGGCTTACTGAGGTAATGCGCAAGGTTGGTGCGCTTTTTGTTCGTTTTCGCTTCACAGTATTGGTCAGGCTTCCCCAGCCTTGTTTGGAGCTGCACAACCCCATATGCACTGGTGGTAGAAACTTCCAAGTCCTGGCTCCATCTACCTACCCCAGGTTGGGCCATAGAGCGCAAGAGAGTTTGTTTTCTTCCTATTCTGAACTCTATGCCAGAGATATGAAAAAAGTAAAAAATGTCACTATAAATAGGTGATCTGCATTTTGCAAGGTGAATGTATGGAAGAAAAATCCAATATGACCAGTGATAGCATACAAAGTGAAAAGTTTGAAGTCAGCCACACGTTAACGTCTATTGGGGCACACATACCTGCGTATACATTTCCTTAAAGGGATTCTTGACAGAAAAGAAATCTAAATCTATATCCAAGACATAAGCATCGTCTTTCTCCAGGATTTCCATAATACTTCTTGCAAGTCTGGCGTTCTGTGAAGATACGGTGTTGATATCACCACTTGTTTCCATGCTGTCAGTAGAAGAATTGCCCTTTCTCAAACAGCCTTCTGCTCCATCACACAAAGAAAAGGAGGCTCCCTGTGAAGAAGCACATTGAAATGCATAGGCAGGACCACCTGCTGATTCATCATTTTCCGCAAGCTTTAGTTTTTTAGCAGCAGATTCACCTTTTTCTGCATCTTCGCAGCCTGGTTCTTTGACAGGGTTCAACAAGATGACATCCAAATGAAGAGGCTTGGGGTTTTCCAGCTGCTCCTCAGGAACATAAAGACCATCACTTAGAAAGTAATCATCTGTGCTGGTGACCCTGAATTATTAAAATAGAAAACATATTTGTAGGTCATGGTTTTAAAATCTGGCCTTTCCTATCTTTTGGAAACAGGTTGTTATATAACTAGCATGATTCAAATCAGATCAATATAACTGTCTGTTAAAAGAGTAGCACTTGTTTGTCAAAACCAAATCTGTCCCCTGAAGCAGCTGACAGAAATAAGCTTCACATATTGCTCCCTGCTGCTGTTGTCTAACTTTGCTGGTCAGTACTCTTAAGACTGGAATCATACTGAGAATAAAAAAAAAGGAAAAAAAGAACACTGGCAACAAAAAAAAGTTAATATATGGTTTTAATAACTGAATGCATTTCTTAAAAAAGAACTCCAGGGAAAAACCTGACCCGCAGATACTTCATGCACAAGACCGGTCGATTTGGCTCCTGCTACCTGCTGTCCAGCAGTCTTGTAAATGAACTGTTGCTGATGTCAGTATGCTCAATGCACACTCCATCAACAGGAATAGTCCACCTCTGGACCATGGGGGAGTGTGGTTTTCCAGAGGATTGGTGGGTCAGTTGAGTATGAGCTTTGTGCTCACCCCTAGAAAAAACGAGCAGTTGTGCCATGAAATGGGGGCACAGCCCCACTTCCTTGTGAAATAAAATTTTTGCCTGGAGTTCTGGTTTAACATGCATGTGCACACAAAATGAACATTTCAGCTCGGGGTGGATGCTGTGGAGGGAAAGAGGTTGCATTTAGTCAATGGCTATTTATAATACATGTATCTCTTGGATACTCTTATTGTAAAATCTTTCCTTCTCTGTTCCCAGCTCATTGATATAATACATTGCTTTCTATTTTAAGCAGAATGAGTTGTTTTACAAGGTAAGGGTTCACATATACTTTAAAATTTGGGATTTTCCCTGACTTTCAGTCCCAGTGATAGACAAAACTAGGACAACTGGAAAGGGCAAAACTGCTTAGTGGGGACACAAACAGCACTTGTCAAGAGTTCTAACTGTATCTAAAACTAAAAAAACTGTTTGGATTTTCAATACATTTCAGTCCCCAAGTGCTATGCAAAGGCTTTCATTCAGCAGAGCAAAGTAACTCTGTATTGCCCATTGATTAGTATATGAACATGTCTCCCAAATACCTAATTGTGGTTGTAGACTTGTCCTTGCCAACCAGGAAGTAGTGCTTTCCTTCTTTTATTTGCTGAGCCCATGAAGGATGGATCCATACAACTTGAGAGAAGTGACCTGCATATACCACAGGCATGATCCAGTTCTCAATGCTCAATTCACTGCAACAACATAAAAAAATTAATTGACTACTACAGAACAGCGCTGCATTAGAAAAAAAAATGATACTTTATTACCAACAATAACAACATTAATATAGCCAAAGAACATTACAAAGGTGTCTATGCAAAGGAGGCTTATCAACATTTAGGGCTCATTCACACCATGGTACAGAGATGTCAGTTTTTCTGCATGAGTTCTTCAAGGGCACAATGAAATCAATTGTTCTCTATGTGCCCTGTTCACACCACAACACTAGTATCACATGCAGATTTTTTTTCTGCACAAAAATCTGAAACGTGTATGAAACGCATTGCAGCGCGCATGAAGACTGATGTAAACTGATGTCTCTGTAAGTGAAATCCGAACATCCCTTTCCATCAGTTTTTCTGCACGTATGGTGTGAATGCGGCCTTAGAGAGTCGAATGCATAAGGTCTAGAAGGTTTCCAGCTTATATTTGAAATCCGGGCAGCAGTTCCTGATTTATATACAGGTATGGTACACCAGTGACTTTAGACACCACTACTGGAGAAAAGACTATAAATGGAATGTTTGCTCTGGTCTCCCGTCTACTCAAGATGAGAGTGGTTAGGGCAACCACCTATCTTCTTTACATTAGCCAGAAAGTGCTAGTCTTTTAGATATTTCATGGTTGAATTGGACACTACATGTGTTTTGGATATTATAAGTTAATTATTGGGACACTATGGGTTTTATTTACTAAAGCAGGAGAGTGTAAAATCAGGCTCAATTCTACATAGAAACCAATCATCTTCCAGGTTTTATTGCCAAAGCTTAACTGAACAAGCTGAGGTTAGAAGGTGATTGGTTTCTATGCAGAAGTGAGCCTGATTTTGCACTATCCAGCTTTAGTAAACAAGCCCCTATACATCTTTTTGTTGTTTTACATTATATGTTAAAGTTACACATTTTTGTATGATATATTTTGAAGAAACACACTAGTCAGTTTTGGATAAACTGATTTATTTAATTGTTCACAGTACTCTTTTCTTTCATCTTTTTTTAAATCTCATTGCTGCTGATCTACTTCAACTTCTTTTCCGCATATATGCACTTAAGCAACTGCTGCATGTTATTTCTCATGGTGGGTTTCCTTATGGAGACAACAGTGGAACATGTCTGTACAATATTCATCAGCATGGCAGCTTGTTATCTTCTTTGGGAGAGCGTGTGATAGGGTGACAAAGGGGGAGAAAAACTGGGACACAAAGAATAGGAAATGCTTGAACAAGGACCTTCATGGCAGGATCATCATTGACAATTACTGTTAAAGTGGAAATAAATCTTTCAATTCTTTGCAGTCAATGTAAGCACACTAGTAGCTAATAGCTATGATTTATGGAATGCCTTAAATTTATCTGTGTTGGGAACCTGTTAAATTTGTGGGTTTATTTTCTAGTTAAAATTGCTTTAATATGTTAAATTTTATGTGAGATTTTAGGGTTTTATTGGGTTTACATATACAGAACTTTAGGCTTGCTTCCTATCCTCCTTGGCCAACTGCACATGCTCTCCCCAGTTTTTGGCAGCAGACCCCTGCCAAGAAATGCATCTCGCATTTTTTCAGCACACTTGGATAATTAGCCCTTCTTATGTCTGTTCTCCTATCTGCACTTGCCCCAATATTTAGCCTATTTATTTATCCTCTAACTATTGAATTTACAGTTCCTGCATCATCCATTATATTTTTTATTCACTTTAATATTGTCAGTCATCCCGCCTTCTATTGATACACATGACTAGGTGTTACATTGCACTTATTGTTTTTTCACTGTAGCACCTAATGTGCTAAAACATTAATTCATATATTTTTTTTTTTTATAATTGAATTTTTATTGAGTTTTAAAGGACATACAAGTAAAAAGTTGCATAGAGTTGTGAAATAACAGTCACAATTCAATGAAAAGAAAGAAAAGAAATAAGCTCATCGATGAAGTGCATATACATACAATGTCAGTGCATAACAGTGAATTAGCTAGCATTATCAGACATTTGAGTAGACATATCGAAAATGAGAAGATCCCATGGTTTCCAAACTGCTTCAAAGAGGGTGACAAAGTTAGCATGCAAAGCAGTGAGGTGCTCCATTCTTCTAAACTCAGCGATAACCTTCACCAATTCCGACCACATAGGAGGCATAGTAGATAGCCAATACATAGGAATGGTTCTCCTGGCCACTGTTAAAACATGAGAGGATAGTTTCTAAGCAGAATTGGAGAGGCCTGCAAAGGCAGGCCCAGTAAAAATGGATGGGATCAAATGGGATATGGACCTGTAGAAGTAGCCGCAGCAGGCTAAGGACCTCTCTCCAGAAGGGTGCAATGTGTTGGCAAAGCCAGAAAACGTTGAAAAGAGTGCCAATTTCCTGACCACATCGCCAGCAGACAGGAGATTGCGAGAATGGAGAACCTCTGGAGTCTTATACCAAAACATCAAAATTTTATAGGTGTTTTCTTTATATATCACACATATAGAAGACCTAGAGGCAGTCTCCCAGATCCTGCTCCACTGATATAAGGGAATATCACGTTGAAGGATTCGGGACCACTTTCGCATATAAACATGTAACATGTAAGATGTTCCTATAGACCAGTTCTTGCACTCCTCGATCATGTTCCTCTCCAGTGTCAGCGGGTTGAGGTTCTTCTCCCCGTTTCCGCTGTCACAATTTAAATACAGCACGACTGTGCAGGATTCCATCCACAAAGGCACGTAATTACTTCATAGGAATCTGTGAATGAACTAAAAGTCCAGTCTGCCACTGCGGCAGATGGCTTGTATTTTGCAATGAGCTACCAGGACGCTCCTCAGCAAATGCGCACGTAGGTTCTGCATGCATATGTAAACGGTGACCACATCACTCATATGGTATCACACGAACATCAGATTTCAAGGATTAATCCTAGCACCAGACCTCCTGCGTAACTCTAAACTGGTAACCTGTAAAGGCTTTTAAAACATTGCCTATAGATAATTTAATGTACTCTAGTTTGCGGCCATTCCACAAGCGTGTGCAATTTTAAAGCGTGACACGTTTGGTGTCTATTTACTTGGCGTAACATTATCTTTCATATTTTACCAAACAATTGGGTATCATATTGTGCTTATGTTCACTAAAGTTAATTATATGATATTTGAGAAAGTGAAGCAGCACTATGGTGCATGTAGATAAACCATGAAAATTATACCAAACATGAACATAAACAAAACCAATAAATCACAATTTCACCATCAATAATATTTAATAAATCACAATTTCACCATCACATAAAACAATACATTTTTGTTTACTGTGTGGCACAGGGATTATCAGGTTTTAGTTGCTAATAAAATGTATTAAAGTGTATTTTATAAAAATTGCTTTTGAAAAACCACTGTGCAAACATCGTGCAACATAAAAAAAAAACAAAACAAAAAAAAAACAGTTATTTACCTGTTAACTATTTCCAGGAATCTTCCAGGACAGCGTCACAATGAGAGATAGGCTCCTCCCAGGAAACACCCGATCCACTTTTTTTGTTATAAGTAGCTCTCTCTGTAGGGGACCCTCAGTACAGGAATATAACCGAAGGCCTAGGATAAAGCACAAAGATAGCAGTAGGAACAATATATGTCCAGTTCATTGAATGATGGAATGCCAGTGTATAGCTATACAGTAATTGGGAGGGAGCGACGCTGTGCTGGAAGATTCCTGGAAATACAGTTAACAGGTAAATAACGGTTTTCTCAGGTCATCTTCCAGGACAGCTTCACAATGAGGGGATTGAATAGGAATACGTACATAGGGGCGGGGCTTCCGCTTGCAGGACCTTCCTGCCAAACACCTGGTCCTTATTGGTGATCAGATCCAACCGATAGTGCCTGGCGAAGGTGCTGAATCTGGACCATGTTGCGGCCCTGCAGATCTGTCTGGGGGAGGAGCCAGCTCTCTCTGCCCAGGTAGCTGCCATGGCCCTAGTCGAGTGCACTTTCAAGCCAGGTGGTGGCGCCAGTGAAGCATTTTTGTACCTTTCTGAGATGGCTTCTTTTAACATCTTGCGATGGTGCCATTGGAGGCGTTGTATCCCTTCCTTGGTCCCTGGAAAAAGACGAAGAGGCTGGATGAGCGTCTCCATGCTTTAGTGCGCTTGATGTACGCGATTAGGCATCTTCTTACATAATTTTTGTTGTAGCCTCTTTCTTCGGTGCTGCTCGGGCTCCCACAAAAGGATGATTTCTTGTGATCCATGGAAGTGCGACGCGACCTTTGGTAGGAATGCCGGATCCGTATGGAGGATAATCCTATTCAACAGGATTGTGCAGTAAGGCTCTATTACTGACAGAGCTTGCAGTTCGCTGACTCTGCGAGCAGAGACTAGGACTATCAAAAGGGTGGTCTTGAGGGTCAAGTGCCTGAGAGAGCATTCCCCCAAGGGTTTGAAGGATTTATGTTGGAAACTTTTTAAGACAGTGCCCAGATCACAGAGAGGGTATTTTGGTGTGCACGGGGCTCTGCGTCTGGATATAGCCCTCTGGAATCTGACCACCAGGGGATCCTCCGCTAGTTTCAGCTCCAGGAAGTTAAACAGAGCAGCTACTTGCACTTTGAGTGTATTGGCGGCCAAGTTCTTCTCAAGCCCCGGCTTGAAGGAATTCAAGTGCTGTATTTAGGATAGGAGCTCCTGATGACTCGTTCCTATTTCTTCAGAAGGAAAACTTCCTCCATATTTTGTCGTAAATGGCATTTGTAGACTTTTTCCGCCAGTCCAAGTTGGTGGCGACTACTCTCTCTGATAAGTCTTTTTTAGCTAGCCTGCTCTGCTCAGAAGCCATGCTGTCAGGGACAGCTTTTCAGGTGTTGGTGTACCACTGCCCCCTGCACTAGTAGGTCGTACGTGGGTGGTATTGTCCATGGGTCCATTAGGCTCAGTTTTTTCAGGAAGGAGAACCATGACCTTTTGGGCCAGAATGGAGCTATCAAGATGACTCTGGCCTGAGACGACTCTATCTTCTGTACCACTCTTGGTAGTAGTCTGAATGATGGGAAAGTGTAAAGGAGGTCCCCCTCCCATGGCTGGGCCAGTGCATCTGTCTGGTGGTCTCTTTGAAGGCAGAAGTGTTTTCCAAGATTTGCGTTCCTCCTGCAGGTGAAGAGATCGGCAATGAAG